TATCTATATATATAAAAGTGAAATACCACGCACGCATCATCACAAAATCTCCAGAACTGTAAAGCCTACAAACTTGAAATTTGGCACGTAGGTTCCTCTTGGCTTCGAGGTGCTCACTAAGAAAGGATTTTTCGAAATGACCATCAGAGCATTAGTATTTCCTATATTATTATTATTAACAAGCTCTGATGGTAAGTTGTTCTACTCCCCCTCCCCACCTGAAAAGAAATCTCTCCCAAATGCAAAACACAAGCAGAGGAGAGGAGTTTCAGTTTTAGTTTCACAGCAGCAAGCAGCTTTAGTACAGAACAGTTGAGCTAAGCCACACCCAGGCTCCTTGCTGTCTCCTCCTTGTTCACACAGAAAATACTGTTTCACTTTCCAAACAGCCCTCAACTCTCTCACACAGACTGACAGGACGCTAGCCAGATGAATACCGATGGATGCTGGTAGGCAGAGGCAGAATTTCTCCCCCCTTATTTTCCTCCCCAAAAACTAAGCTCAACTACATAGTTTCGTAGCGAAGCATGGGTACCCTGCTAGTTCAGTATATTTTACAAATTCAATCTTGCTGGTTTGAGGGGAATTCTATCAAATTAAAAATTAATTATTTCAGCTCTGATTTCTTAACCTAGAATATGCCAAAACGGTGTTTCGACTATCTAGGCAATTATTCTGCTATAAATTCAGGAAATGTAGCCTATTTTTTTAAAAAAATATTGTCTCATATTTTCTGTCGGAAAGGCGATGGGGGATTTGGATCTGTGTATCGTGCTGTATATATTGGTGAAGAAGTAGCTGTAAAGATTTTTAATAAACACACGTCCCTTCGGCTTCTGAGACAGGTGAGTCAATTCGCAGTCTGCAAAATAAATCACAAAGCCATAAATTACCGTGTAGAAATCACAAGAGCGCAACTTAATTAATGGCTACCGACCTTGTAGCCGACAGGGGTCATTAATTATTGGTGGCAAATATCCTCATACAGGCCAAACCATTTTCAACGTGGCCTATTGTGGCATGATTCCAGAATAAAACTAGGGTTTGCTAGGTGTTTTTTTTTTTCCCGTTGCTGATTTTGGGGGAATAAATTATTTATTTTCAACTATTACATTTTTTTAATGTCTGCTTTTTCTTTGTCGATGCAAGAGCCTTATCAACTTCTCTGAAACCGTTTGTGACGCTTGGGATCTGTGAGGCAGAGACTTGGCTGGGAAAATCTCTCTGTAGCATACGCTGCAAACATACCATTGTGTCTGTGGAGATTCTCACTCATCCAGGTCATGGTTGCCTCAAACGTTGTTGTTTTAGATGTTACGGTTGTTCTTCTTCTTCTTCTTCTTCCCCTTCCTCTCCTCCTCCTCTCCTTCTTCTTCTCCTCCTCCACAACCTTCACTTCATCCTCCTCCTGCTCTTCCTCTACCTTAACTTTCTCCTCCATCCTCCTCCTCCTCTTCCTCCTCCTTCACTTTTCCTCCTCCATCCTCCTCCTCCTCTTCTCCTCCTCCCCCACCTTCACTTTCTCCTCCTTCACTTTCTCCTCTTTCCTCCATCCTCTCCTCCTCTTCTCCTCCCTCCTTCTCTTTCTCCTTCATCCTCCTCTCCTCCTCCTCCACCTTCACTTTCTCCACCTTCACTTTCTCCTCCATCCTCCTCTTCTTCTCCTCCACCTTCACTTTGTCCTCCTCCTTCCTCCTCTGCCTTGTCCTCCCTCCTTCCTCCTCCTCCTCCTCCTCCCCCTCCCTCCTTCCTCCTCCCCCTCCCTCCTTCTGAAAAAAAAAAACAGTCCAGTTGCCTTTTGAAAAGAGCATCTTTGATCCACTATGGCCCAGAAGACCGTGAATCTCCATAGACATTTGGCCATACCCTTTGGGGTGGACACCCTTCAAAACCTACCCTTCCAACCCTCCCACAACCGATGAAGCTTCTTGGATGAGAAGTGAAACTTCTTCTTCCTCCTCCTCAAGGAAAAAAACCAAACCAGTCCAGCCCAGTTGTCTTGCGGGGGTTGTGGGGGGAAAAGCACTTTTGAGAAAGCATGGCAGGAGTATGGCTGTCCTTTCACTTCCGTTTTGCTGTGCCTAGGAACTGACGGTGCTTTGTCACCTCCACCACCCAAGCCTGGTATTCCTGATGGCTGCGTCTGTGCGTCCCCGGATGCTGGTCATGGAATTGGCCCCCAAGGGCTCCTTAGATCAGTTGCTGCAGCAAGAAAACGCCGGTCTAACCAGAACCTTACAGCACAGGATAGCTCTGCATGTGGCGGATGGCTTGAGGTAAAAAAAATACCAAACCTCTTCCTTTTTCAGTATGTATGAATGTATCTCCCTCCCTCCCTCCCTCCCTCCCTCTCCTGTCTCTCTTTCTCTCTCCCTTTCCCTCTTTCCCTCTCCCTTTCTCCCTCTCCCTCCTTCCCTCCCTCTCTCTCTCTCTCTCTCCCTCTCTTCCTTTCCTCCTCTCTTTCTCTCTCCCTCCCTCTCCCCCTCTTTCTCTCTCATTCCCTCTCCCTCCCTTTCCCCCTCTCCCTCCCTCTCTTCCTCTCTCCCTCTCCCTCTTTCCCTCTCCCTTTCTCCCTCTCCCTCCTTCCCTTCCTCTCTCTCCCTCTCCCTCTCTCCCTTTCCCCCTCTTTCTCTCTCCCTCCCTCTCTCCCTCCCGTTCCCTCTCCCCCTCTCTTTCCCTCTCCCTCCCTCTCCCCATCTTTCTCTCCCTCTCCCCTTCTCCCTTTCTCTCCCTTCCTCTCCCCCTTTCTCTCTCATTCCCTCTCCTTCCCTCTCCCTTCTCCCTCCCTCCCTCTCTCCCCCTCCCTCCCTCTTTCTCTCTGTCTATACATCTATATCTATATAAGGTGCCCAATAGCAATAGCACTTAAATTATATACTGCTTCACAGTGCTTTACAACTCTCTCTAAGCAGTTTACAGAGTCGGCCTATTTCCCCCAACAATCTTGGTCCTCATTTTACCCACCTTGGAAGGATGGAAGGCTGAGTCCAGCTTGACACAGTGAGGACTGAACCCCTGGCAGTCAGTAGAATTAGCCTGCAATACAGCATTCTAACCATTGCGCCACCATACTTCACCAATCATGATAACTTGTGGCCTTCAACTGCCAGAATTCATGACCGGCTTGGAAATTTTGGAAGTCCACAAGTCTTCAATTTGCCAAAGTTGGACACCCGTGCTCTAAATCTTTGGGATATAAGCACCCATTATATGTACCTGGTGTTATTTCTACTCCTCTCAGTGCCTCTCTTATTTTCTTTTTCATAACAGGTATCTACATTCTTCCATGATCATCTATCGCGACTTAAAGCCTCACAACGTCTTGCTGTTCACGCTTTATCCCAATTCAGCGGTCATTGCCAAGATCGCTGATTACGGCATTTCCCAATATTGCTGCCGAATGGGAATAAAAACCTCCGAAGGCACACCAGGTACCAACAACTTAGTAGCTCCTACATCTGAGTAACAAGGACTTTCTGAGGTTCTCAGGTGAAATTGGAAGTTGAATACGCATTCAGAAGTTCTAATTTATGTCTGTTAGTGTGTGTTGCCAGTGGGTTTTTGTTACAAGGTTTTTCTAACTGTCTTGATTTTCAGTAGTTAAATTCTATTTATTTTGAAGTTTTATTTCTTGTCCCTTTCTTGTGACTCGTTTTCTGTGTAGCATTACTAATCGATTGGTATTTGTATATCAAATTTGTTCACGCATACAGTATGTATATATAGTGTGATTTTATATAGTTTATTCACAGGGGTGGGATTCAAATTTTTTTAACAACCGGTTCTGTGGGCGTGGCTTAGGTGGTGGGCATGGCATGGTGGTCATGTGACTGGGTGGACATGGCTTGGTGGTCATGTGACTGGCTGGGCGTGGCCAACTCAACATCACTCACATCGAGGCACGCATCTCCTCGCCTGGCCTCTCGTGACTGTGGGGATGCTGCAACAGTCGTAAGTGTGAAAAATGGTCATAAGTCACTTTTTTCAGTGTCATTGTCACTTTGAATGGTCACTCCACACAAGCAAAGTACCAGCAAAGGAGAGGAAAAAAACTCCAGAGACATTCCTGAGACAGGAAGTCCAGTCCTACCAAAAAGGTAATAAGGGTCAACGGAGAGGAGTTTCTGTAAGCAACACCAGAATATTTCCTTCCTGCCTTCCTTACAGGATTAGGCCAGTAATTTCTTCTAACAACCGGTTCTCCAAACTGCTTAGAATGTTAACAAGCGGTTCTAGCGAATTCAGGTGCGAACCTGTAGAATCCCACTGCTGCTTATTCATACCTTCTAAAGTAATAAAGCCTTTTTATATACTGGGAAAATAATAATAATATTTTGATTTTCTTGTTTATGTGTTCTGAAGACATTTAATATCATTTAAGATTCTTAAATTAAAACAAGAACAGCATCTGCCTAATAAAGACCGTAACAATTAATGATTCGTGGATTATTTTTCTTTCCTTTTTAAAAGGATTTAGAGCACCAGAAGTTGCAAGAGGAAATGTTATTTACAACCAGCAAGCTGATGTTTATTCATTTGGCTTGCTGCTGTATGACCTTTTGACAGCTGGTGGGAGAATATTAGAGGGCATAAAATTTCCTAATGAATTTGATGAATTAGCTATCCACGGAAAGCTGCCAGGTATGTTCCATTTCCTTCCTGTCTGGTTATTATACGCAATATACATTTGTACTTTTGTAATAATCTACTTTATCTTAATCTGTCCAGCAAATGTAAAAACAAACCACAGAAACAAGTGCATTCTCAGTCCTAATTTGGATATGTTTGAATTTTATTTGATTTTTTTTTTAAATAAAGGTAAAAGGTTATAATGCAAAAAACTCCAAATCTGGATGATAAGGAAAACTAGAATCTTAAGCATTTTTTTTAAAAAAATTCTGTTCAGTCATGTCCAATAATTTCTGTAGCTCAAGTTTGAACTGCAGAGTCCTTCATGCTCTCTGAGCTTGGTGGTTTTCTTGCAGATGTTTCATTAACCAACTAACCAGAACATTCCCAGGACTAAAACCAAGCACTGATAATGTTATTTACCTTGGTAATGAAACATCTGCACTCTGCAAGGAAACCTGTTGGAATTCATTGTTGGAATGTATTTCTATGCAACCACTACAGTAGTATTCAGCCAGTAGATGGCAGTGTTTACAAGTTTGGATCTATGCTGTTTTGTCCTAAGTAGAGTTTCCTGTTTCCTGTTACAGTTGAACAGTTCAGCAGTAAAGCACATGGTGGCTGTAATGTTTGTTTGCTCTGTGATGCTATATATAAACATAATTTCTAACAAAACCACCAAATTCAGGTGGTGCTTTTGCAAAACAAATGTTAGTCTCTGTAATGCGATTCTCCAAATTACTCTCAGAATGATCTATTCTAGATCCTGTCAAAGAGTACGGCTGTGCCCCCTGGCCAAGATTTGAAGATTTAATTAAGAAATGTTTGAAAGAAAATCCTCAAGAAAGACCTACATCTGACCAGGTAGGCTCAGTAGACAGTAAATGAGACACTGATGTTCCCAGTGCTATAGATTTTAGCGTTAGGAACTTTTGTACCAACTCATAAAACATTCCTATGCCTATTTTTGAGTTGCCATAAACAAGAGGGGGGGGTGGAAATCTGAAGGAGAAATACAGCAGTTTAAAACCATTCCACATTTATCTCACAAAGATTGTAGCTAGGCTACTGCCTGGGAAAATCCTTCATTGGAGCACGTGATTGATGACACCCAGACTGTGAATGTGCTTCATTGGAGAATCTGATTTATGAAACACCCGGGGGGAGGGGGGAAACAGGATCACAGGTGACTGTGAATTACGTATGCCAGAGTTGGCTTCATTTTGGTTAATGCCGGCATGCTGCTCTTAATAAATCTTTTGGATTCTTTTGAAGCTTGGCTCGCGGCTCATGATTTAATTAGGGCATTCGCCGGAACCCTGACATTTTACATGCAAAAACATTTAGTAAAAGATAGACGCTCTTAGATGCTATTGTGTTGTTGACTAACATCTAGTTATGGTCGCTATGATGTAAAAAAGATGTTGAGACTTTGGAAAAATGTTCAGAGAAGAGCAACGAAGATGGAGCTAAAGACTGAAGCTAAAACAAATAAAGAACGGTTGTTGGAACTGGGTATGTCTAATTTGATGAAAAGAAGGACCAGGGGTGACATGATAGCAGTCTTCCAATATCTCAGGGGCTGCCCCAAAGAAAAGGGAGTCAAGCTATTCCCCAAAGCACCTAAAGGCGGGACAACAAGGGATGGTAACTAAGCAAGCAGAGAAGCAACCTAGACCTAAGGAGAAATTTCCTAATAGTGAGAACAATTAATCAGTGGAACAACTTGCCTCTAGAAGTTGTATATGCTCCAACACTGGTAGTTTTTAAGAAGAGATTGGACAGCCATTTGTCTGAAATGCTAGAGGGGATTCAGACTAGAAGACCTCCAAGGTCCCTTCCCACTCTGTTATTCTACTCTGTTCTAATATGGTATCCGCAGGTCTATGAAATGTTGAACTCCGCAGAGCTGGTTTGTTTCCTGAGACACATTCCGGTGCCCTCTCCTTTTGCGTCGGAGTGCATGGTGGCTACAAACCAAAGTAGCAAGAAGTGCGGGATCTGGTTCGGAAGTGGTGGCAGAGGGGAAGCCCAGCTGTCCTTTGTCGATATAAATACCGATGAACGTACCTGTGAAGTAGGTTTCAAGGTTGACCTTCGAAGCAATGCTTCGTTATATGTTGGCTCAGTGCATCTGTGGACTTAGCCATGGAATGATACTGAATCTCATGGACCAGGGGTGTCAAACTCGAATTCATTGAGGGTCGCGTCAGGGTTGTGTTGGACCTGGGTGGGCGTGGGGAAGGGCGTGGCCAGGGCAGGTGTGGCCAGCTCAACGTTACTTGTGTCAGGACGCCTGAGGCAGCCCGAACGCTCTGCCAGCAAAAACAGGCTCCCGAGCTCCGTTTTCGGCTGGGACGGCTTCCTGCAAACCCTCTGCAGGAGTTCGGGAGGGGCGCACACGGCCCTCTCAAGCATCATTTTCACTGGCAGAAGCACCGTGGGTCAGATCGAAGCACCCCGCGGGCCAGAACTGGCCCCCAGGCCTTGAGTTTGACACCCCTGTCATAGACCACTGTTTCTCAACCATGGCAACTTTAAGACAGACGGACTTCAGCTCCCAGCATTCTCCATGGCTGGCTGGAGAATTCTGGGAGTTGAAGTCCGCCTGTCTTAAAGTTGTCAAGATTGAGAAACACTGCCCTAGATGCTTAATTCAAAGGTCAGCAACGCCCGGGACATGGTCCTTTACAAATGGCAGATAACCATACCCACACGCACAGTTCCACTTCTGCAAATGGCAGGCATGCACACAAGCGCGTGATGCTTCATTGGTGCGAGCGATGAGCACGCAAGCCCTCTGCTTGTGCAAGTGGAACTAGATCCATGATGGCGAACCTATGGCACACGTGCCAGAAGTGGCACGCAGAGCCATTTCTGCCAGCACATGAACTGTCGCCCAGAACAGATCCACTGTGCATGCGCATGCGCCTCCCTCCAGCCAGCTGATTGTTGGGTATCTGCTGGGGGGTGGTGAGTGCGCGAGAGACATGCGCGAATGTGCAGAGACACGTGCATGTGGGGGGGTTGTGCATGCATGCGCCGGGGTCATGCGTGCATTGCATTATGGGTGCAGGCACACATACGCGCACTTTCAGCATGTAACGATGAAAAGGTTAGCCATCACTGAACTCGATGGTTATGTAGGACCACCCCCTCTTTCTCTCCCCCTGCTACCGTGGTCACCGCCGGTCCACAAAACCAGGGAACCACTGCTTTAATTAATGAAGCCATTATAGTTCAAAGCCATCGAGCGCACCGTTAGGATTTATATTTCTGTTTATTTATTTATTTTTTTTGATGAATTCGTGGTCCAAAGCTTCCTCTTTTTCTCCCCTCCCTCTCTTCTCCCAGGACGTTGAAGATAGTAGGATATTGTGCTTGGCCTTGGTGACATTTTCTGCAGAGAAGGAGAACTGGGTGATTGCAGGAACCCAGTCAGGATCCCTGTGGGCCTTTCACACCCAAGATGGAGAGCGCAAGCATCGGTTTCACACGATGACAGATTCGGTCACCTGCCTTTACTGCAGTCCCCCGTCAAAGCATAAGTACGTGTCAGGCACAAAAGACCCCAGGTCCCTTTGTGAATGCCTAAATTAAATTGATGTATTGCTAAAAATCGACGTGCAGGAATCTTCTCAATGAACAGTCCCTGATTAGAGTTAGATAAGGGTCAAATGAATTCAAGGTGGGTTGGCTTAGTTTGCTTGTCGCTCAGAGGTGGGCTTCAGCAGGTTCTGACCCATTCTGGAGAACCAGTAGCGGAAATTTTGAGTAGTTCAGAGAACCGGCCAATCCCACCTCTGACTGTCCCCGCCAACCGCATCTATTCTCTGCCTCCCAAGTCCCAGCTGATTGGCTGTGTCTCCTTTGGTTGCCCTGCACAGGAGAACAGAGCTGGAAAGCAGGTTAGTGGGGTGGGGAGGGAATGGGGATTTTGCAGTATCCTCCCCCTGCCACACCCACTAAGCCATGCCCACAGAACTGGTAGTAAAAAAAAATTGAATCCCACCACTGTTGTGGCTACAAAGAGATTCTCTGCTGATGTCTCTTTTGACTCTGCCCCAAGGTTCTGCCATTCTTTCTACACCAGGGGTTGGCAACCCACGGCTCTGGAGCTACATGTGGCTCTTTCATCCCTTTGCTGTGGCTCCCTGTCACTGGTTGAGAGGAGCTTCCGGTTAGGGAGAGGAAAAGCACAACATATCAGGAGACTTTATGGCGAGGGGCCAGTTTTCTGGTCGGCTCCACAAATGATAGGGCTTCCGGTTAGGACAGGTAGAGGGAAAAGGACGCCATGCTAGGAGGAGACTCTATGGTGGGGGAACCGGAGTTCCGGTTGGCAGAGGAAAAAGGGTGCTGTGCTAGGAGGAGACTCTATGGTGGGGGATTTGGAGTTCCGGCAAGCAAAGGAAAAAGGACGTTGTGCTAGGAGGAGAGACTATGGTGAGGGAACCGGAGTTCTGGTCAACTCCGCAATTGAACAGGGGGCTTCCGGTTAGGACCTCCGAGGCTCTTTGAGTGTTTAAGGTTGCCGACCCCTGTCCTACACTTTGGCTGAATTTAGATTCCATTCCATACTGCCCATTGCTTCAAAACAGTCTTAAAAATACAGAAGTGTTGATTTTTTGTGAATGAAACGACTTAGTTCTTCATCCCTATTTAGACATCCCTTTTGGCACAGGGCTAATGGTGCGGCTGTTTTGAGGGGGACATATTTAGCTTGCCCTTTTGAGTACATGGGCTGGTCATTTCAGCTTTTCTTATCTCCAGGGTTACACATTTAACTGCATGGCTTCAATGCTGCCAATCTTATTTCACTGAATTCATTTAATGCATTTAAATTTAAATGTAATTCATTTGTGCATTTCCTCCTTCCATTTCAGCAAGTACAAGAATGTCTTTTTGGTGGGCACAGCCAATGGACAGCTGGCCATTTTTGAGGACCGAGCAGTCAAGGTACATATTCACTTCAATCTTCCAAGAGATATGTAATCAGTGACAGACATGTTTGTAATAAACCCTTCACTTTGCATTAATATAGAAAGTTTATGCTTTCTTCAATTTTGACAGGTGCTATTCAAATAGTAGCAGGAAGAGAGGGAGCAATAAAACGAAATGGAATTGTATAGATCTGTGATGGTAAACCTATGGCATGCCAAGGATCCTTGTAACCCTATTAATCTGTTTATTTTCTTTATTTTCTTGTGTTTTCTCTGCAGGGCCAATGTGCCACACCCTTAAAGACGGTTCTCGTCGGAAGTGACAGCACTCCACTGATGTGTTTAAGTGAATCAAATTATTCCTCGGACAAAAGTACAATCTGGGGCGGCTGTGGATCCAAAATATTATCATTGTCCAGCGATTTGGCTACCCACAAACTCATTGAGACGAAGACGAGTCAGTTGTACGTTTGACTTGCTTAGGTTTTTATCAGGTTGTCTCTCTTCTGGATTGCTTATCACCTTAATCCATTTGTGCCATGTGGCCTGTGTTGTAAACGCCACAACATCATTTTCTGATTTCCTTTTGTGTGTGTGTATGTGTGTATGTGTCTCAGGTTATGTCACAAGGACTACTGCAACGCCAACATTATTTCTATAGCGGTAGACAAGTTTATCTACTTGGCAAAGAAGGACAGCTATTTCGTGGAGATTTGGGATAGAAAGACGGAGAAGCTTTGTGAACTGATTGACTGCGTGCATCTACTCAAGTGAGTATCGGATATCCCACAGGGTCAGCAACGTCTCGCGAGGGGCTGAGATAACTGGGACAAATAAATCGCTCTGGTTTTTTGAACATCTAGATTCAGTCACAGTATAGCATCAACCTCGTGAAGTCTTCTGCTTTCCACTAGGAATTCAAAATGGACAGTGATTTATATATGTGTGTGTGTGTGTGTGTGTGTGTGTTTTCTTAAGTTTTCACGGGTACTTACATGTATGGTATTCAGCTTTGTTCGGGTATTTTCCCACGTCATTATAGTTGTGCTTTTAAAGTTGTAGCGACATTTCGGCAGAATCTCATCTGCCATCATCAGGCTTCTGTATTGGGTTCATCTATGTGTCAGGCTTTTGCAGCCGTTTCTGTTTTAAATTTGGTGCTGGCCTTGTGCTTTGATAGAACATTTTTTCTTCATCCTGATTGGTTGGGAACAAACTCCAAGACCAATAAACACAGACCAAGACTCCCAACAAATCAGGATGAAGAAAAAAATCATTCTAACAAAGCATGAGGCTAGCATATGTGTGTGTTATGTAGGTGTTTAGGTAAATATATATTTTCTCTTGAGAGCAGGCAACAGAATTTCATTTTTAATGTGGGCCACTGTGCTCACAGTAAAAAAATGACAATGTTATCTTATCTTACCTTATCTTATCATCTTAAATCTTATCTCTTATCTCCCATCTCTCATCTTTCATATATCTTGTCATGTTATTCTCATCTCTTCTCTCTTCCAACTTATCTTATAATCTTATCTTATCATTTTATCTTGTCATCTTATCTTTCTTATATCTTCTCTCCTCTCCCCTTTCCTTCCCTTCCCTCCTCTCCTCTCCTTTCCTCTCCTCTTCATCTCATCATCTCATCTCATCTTAGCTTATCTTCCAAATAGAAGAACGTGATCTGACACAGTTTACCATTTAACTTTCTTATTAGTTTATCAAAGTATAAAACACAAAGGGACCCCCCCCCCCAAAAAAAGCATGAGAAATCTGACACGGTTTAGACATGTCACAACTTCCTGTTTTTCAGAGCCGGGGTACCAAAACTGAGTATGGAATCGAAACAGAAACTTGCTTACCCGGGACGAGTGAAGAGTATCTGTCTGCAGAAAAATACGGCGTTGTGGATCGGGACAGGAGGAGGCCACCTCTTACTACTTGACCTGTCCACGCGCCTCCCCATATGGATAATACAGGGTTTCTGTCGTTCGGTGAGATTCATGATGACAACTCAACTAGGTAAATAGTGAAGCGTATATACCAAAAGAAAACCACGGTCGGTTTTAGCATCAAGACATTTTACTCCATGTTTGTTCGATCTGTCTTTGTGATGACCCGGAGTGTGACACAAAAATAACCAAGTCACAATAGAAGAAAGTCCCTCTAATGCTTCCAACTTGGCCCCAATATCCAATTATCCTTGGCTGGATATCAAACTCGTAAAGAAAACAGTTTACGGAGGGAGTAAATGCAGTCCGCGCCCAAAGTAAACTTAATTCGAAATAAACCCAACACAAATCACACTGAAGGAATTACTACAGCAGGCAAGGATGATTAATTGCAGACTTTTGCCAGATAACGCAGCCATCACAGTTGGGAGGAAGCCAAAACACAGATAAGCTCTGACAAGAATGCACGCTTTGCTTCCAGCAACTTTGCTATGTGCAGTTTGTCCTTTTAACCAGTCCTCCCAGCTGCAGCCCATGAAGGGGATCAGGGCCCCTTCCTCCCCCGTAGACCACACCACTCATGTTTCTCCCTTATCCACTCCTCCCTGCATGCCCTAGGATGAAGAGGGGATGGGCCTGGATCTTCCTCTGAATGCCCATCTGGCCTGTGCCCTTCCCCAGTTTCCTCCACAACCACCGGAGCCACATTTCCACTCCCTGTCAGCTGTTCCACCTCTCCCTAGGAGTCAGACTCCACCAGGGGCATGGCAGTCTTTGGCCTTTACTGTAAGTAACAGGAAGAAATACTGTACATACAGGCAGGGGTGGGATTCTACCGGTTCAGCCCGATTCACCGAACTGGTTGTTACACCGGTTGAATCGCACCCCTGCATACAGGTACTCTTCAACCTACGACCACCATTAACCGTATGTTGCTAAGCGAGAAATCCACTGAGTGAGTTTTGTCCCGTTTTACAACTTCCCTTGCCACCGTTGCTAAGGGAATCCCTGCAGTCGTTAGATTAGTATCCCGGTTGTTAAGTGAATTCTGGCTTCCCCACTGACTTTACTTGTCAGATGGTCACATAAGGGGATCGTGTGACTCCCCCCAGGGACACTGCAACCATCATAAATGTGAGTCAGTTGTCAAGCATTCAAATGTCAATCATCTGCCTCTAGGGATGCTACAACAGTCGTAAGTATGAGAAACGGTCGTAAGATGGGGTCAACCTATTCTCCAAAGCACCTGAGGGCAGGACAAGAAGCAATGGGTGGAAACTAATCAAGGAGAGAAGCAACTTAGAACTAAGGAGAAATTTCCTGACAGGGAGAACAATTAATCAGTGGAATAATTTGCCTCCAGAAGTTGTGGATGCTCCAACACTGGAAGTTTTTAAAAAGATGTTGGATAACCATTTGTCTGAAGTGGTGTAGGGTTTCCTGCCTAGGCAGGGGGTTGGACTAGAAGACCTCCAAGGTCCCTTGCAACTCTGCTATTCTATTCTATATGCTGAGGCTGGTAGAAGCAAGATTTTCCTGATTTTTTTTTCCAAAATGGAGGAAAGACCTGCAAAGTCTCACACCCCACATTCTGGTGCATGCACAGAACTATTTCGGCTTTGACAGGAAGAATATAGGATTTAATTAATTTAATATAGGATTTAATTAAAATACTCATGTTTGTTTTTTTTAATTTAAGGCACCCTCAAAAATGTCGTTCTGGTCTTGGGTTATAGCCATGAAGAGGAGAATAAAGACAGACACATTAAAGGTAAGCCTGAGTCCGTACTTCATTTGTTCTAATTTTGCAGCAGGCCACAACGCTAGCGCTGGCAAGACGATCAGTAGGATGTGGTTAAAAACAACAACAATAACAACAACAACAATAATAATAATAATAATAATAATAATAATAATAATAATAATAATAATAATAATAATAATAAAGTTTCAGTCATAGTCACGGCTGCTGTAGGAAGAAAAATCCGTCTGGTTCAGTTCCAAGCCGGGAGAGACTGTATGCGCTGGAAAATAAAATGGAGGGTTGACTGGAAGGAAGGACTCAGTTTATTGAGGAGCAGACTCGGCATGTGGTTCTGGGACAGCTGACAAATTAGGATTTTTATACAGCTTACAGCAGGGGTGTAGATTTCATCAAAGGCCGCATCAGGGTTGTGTTTGACCTTGGAGGGCCGGCGGGGTAGGTGTGGCCATGGCCTGATACGGGACTCGTATTGGGGGCACCTGTGGTGGCCAAGAGCTAAGGCAGGACTTCCTTGAGACCCTCACTCTCTCTCATTATAATCTTCCTTCTGTCAGCGTTCCAGCAAACCTCCCTTCCAACCAATAACTCCTGAGACAGACATCTCCTCAAAGATTCCTTTTTATTTGGATAGTAAACTGACACATCTGTGGAATCCCGAATCTGAAAGTTTCGGGCTTCCTTGCAAAAGTAAAAGCTTCAAATCGATCCCCTGCACCCATCATCACATCACATGGCCCAATCACCATCCATCCCAAAGTAAGACTTCCTTTTCACTATGCACAACACTTCATGACCTTGAACCAGGAGAAGAGTTTTATTTCGTCTAACTAGATATTTTCCAACGATTCCCCCCCGTCATTCCCACTTTCCCAGGCTCAATTATGGCAGCGTGGGAGCATCGGATCTCAATATGGTTTCCAAAGCTGACACCTCCCTTCCTCCCTCCCTCCCTTCTTTCCTTCCTTCCTCCCTCCCTCCCTCCCTCCCTTCTTTCCTTCCTTTCTTTTTCTTCTTTTTCCTTCCCTCTTCCTTCTCCTTTCTTCTTCCTTCCCCTCTTTCCTTCTTTTTCCTTCCTTGCTCTCTTCCCTTCTTCCCTTCTCTTTCTTTCTCTTTCCCTTTCCCTTTTACTGTTTCTTCCTCCAGGCTCAAATGCAAAAGGGGAATCGTTTCTCCTTTTGTTTTGTTTTGAATTTTAGTTTTGCCAGCCCTCTGCTTCATTGGTAGAGGCACCACGGGCCAGTCCTTCACTGTTTCCAGGCCCCACGGATCAGATCTAAGTACCCCACTGGCGGGATCTGGCCCACAGGCCTTGAGTTTGACACCCCTGGTTTAGAATATTTTGTCATTTTAAGGTTTGCTTTGTGGGCTTTTATTACGTGATTGGTTTTACTTGTTGCACAAAGGTTCATGATGGGTCTTAATTATTGGCTTCCTTAGTCCTAATCCTGTCAGGCAGGTGTAATTGATTTTATCCTGTTATCTATTGCCTCTAGCCTGCCTTTCTTAATGAACTGATATTGTTTCCATTTTTCTCAATGAACGGAGTTAATGTCCTGTCTGGTCCTTCTTTATCCCATCAGCTAGAGCTGAAGATGTTTTGTTGATGAATTTCTTAATGGGCCCAAAATATCCATTTCTAAAGACTTCAGGCATCTGCTGGAGGCTGTTGGGAGCCGCTTTCTGTCTTTGTTAAAAATTTTCTCCATTTCTCCTTTGGGGAAATATAACATTCTGCCTCTTTTAATCATCATTCATCATCTTCTTATAATGACCCCGTAATCCCTTGCGGGGTGGAGTCTGGGCAACCGAATGGAGCTAGCAGAGTGTTTTAATGGCCCAATGCCCTTCCTGTCACCAGTACGGAGTTTTGTTCAGCCGATATATTCTCATTGTGCCCAGAGAGAAAAATATCTGCCTCTACCTAGGATTGAATTCACAGCCTCCTGATTGTGAGGCGAGGGCTCCACTAAGCCACCACACCACTCTTCCATAAGCTATAAAGATATTAATTTATTCATTCTCCCAATCGCAAGTCAACCACATCAGTAATCCAGATAATTATTGAAATGATATAAATCTAAATCATTTTTCCCTCAAAGACATTGATTGTACCAGCTATCACTGTTCTCCTTACAAGCTGAAAGGAAACAAGTGAAATATGGTTTGAATTCTGATAAGTAATTTATCGTAGAAAAATCTAAGGAGTTATTAGGAAAGAATTCCAGCAACCTTCATGTATCTGTGGCTTTCTTGGGATCAACCAATTTTAGTTTAAATAAGGCCAAACCAGATTAGTACAATAACTATCTATTCAACTTGTGTATGAAAAGTGAGACTTATTTAAAGTGAAATCAAAGTTCACATTTTTGGTAATTTTTTTCTCCTACTCATGCTAAGAAATATGCCTACCTCTCTATTTTGGCTCCTGTTTTTAAAAGACAGCGAATGCAAGCACTGACAAATGTGCCCAGCATTTTTGTCTTTGTAGTATCTTCGTTGATTATTTTTTAAATGACTTTTTTTTCATAGGGATACCGTCTTCTGTGTCCGTCTGGGATGTGAACCTGTCACATGAAGTGCAAAACTTGAAAAAACATATTGTGATGAGGGAAGCACTAGCAGAGAAAATGAAGCATTTTTCACTGGATTAACTTGAAGGAATTTACTAGAATTACACGAGACCGTTGAAGTTAAGTTTCGTTGAAGGACAGGTAGAAATACTTGTTAAATGCAACATTACCGCTGGTTTCCTTTAAAATGAAACACAAATATTAAATTATGCAGCGATGTTTAATATTCCACACTAAAAGGAGAAAAGTGTGGCAGCACAAAAATGTATTTCTTCTGGTTTCAGATGCCATTAGGTTTAAATTCATTCTCTTTTGCTGCTTTTCCTGTTCTATTTATATCTTTCCGTAGGTATAATTCAATACGATTTAACTGTTTTAAGTACACGAATAAAAATACAGAAGCTATTTAATTACCAGGAAATTAAAGGCATCATAAGTATAATTTTTGATAGCACCAACTCACCCTTGGGCATATTTCAAAATAATTGGGATGAAATGCTTAGGGCTTCACGTCAACCCAATGTTTTTCTCTGGCTTTGTTCCACTCACGTTTTTTCCACCCAAGGCTTCTGTCCAAGGTGCTACTGCTGCTTTAAAAATTTAACTTATTAAATTTAATGAGACCTTTAATAAAAGGTTATACGAATGCCAAGATTTTCTCCGGTTTGGATGGAAGCCAGAAAAAGGAAGACTATTTTAATGAATTGTAAAGGAAGTGCTGTGCTCAAAGGAGAACCGAAACATTTCAAAATCAGATGAAGTGTTAGTCCCACTTTAGAATGCCTTGGTAAGACCTCATTTGGAATACTGCATCCAGTTCTGGTCACCACAATACGAAAAAGATGCTAAGGCTTTACAAAGAGTGCAGGGAAGAGCAACCAAGATGTTTAGGGGCCTGGAGGCCAAACTGTGCGATGAATGATATGTCTAGTCAAAAGAAGAGAAGGCCTAGGGCAGAGATCTCCAAACTCGGCAACTTTAAGACTTGTGGACTTCAACTCCCAGAATTACCCAGCCAGCATGACTGATGGAGGAATTCTGGGAATTGGAGTCCATAAGCCTTAAATTGCCAAGTTTGGAGGCCCCTGGCTAAGGGGTTGACATGATAGCAGTCTTCCAGTATTTGAAGGGCTGTCACAGAGGAGAGGGGGTCAATCTATTCTCCAAAGCACCAGAAGGCTGGACAAGAAGCCATGGATGGAAACTCATCAAGGAGAGAAGCAACCTGGAATTAAGGAGAAACTTCCTAACAGGGAGGACAATGAACCAGTGGAATGAGCTGCCTCCAGAAGTTGTGGCTGCTCCATCACTGGAGGTTTTCAGGAACAGTCTGGAAAGCCATGTGTCCGGAATGATACAGGGTCAACTACAAGACCTCCAAGGAGCCTTCCAACTCTGTTTTTCTGGATTCCTTCCAAATAGTTTTCACAATGGGAAGGACAAATAGTGTCAGGATTCCGGCGATCACAAATCATAAGCCTCAAGCCAAGCTTCAAAAAACGTCAAAAGATTTATTAGGAGCAACATGCCAGCATGACCTGTATGAAGCCAACTCTTGAGATATGTAATTTACAATCACCTATGACCCTGTTTCCCCCGATGCCCCTGGGTGTATCATAATTCAGCTTCCCCAATGAAACACAGTTCATGGGCTGGGTGTCATCACTCACATTCACCAATAAACGATTTTCCCAGACGGTATACCCGGTTGCCTAAGTTACAATCTTTGTGAGATAAGCTTGGAATGTGCTTCTGATTTTATTTGCTGTATGCTCCTTCAGGTCTTTCCCCCTCTCTTTCTCATGGCAATTTGAAAACAGGCATACGAATGTTTTACAAGTTGACAATAGGTTCGCTGTTACTATTACTCCATCCAGCTATAGAGAGAAGAGTCTCTATCAATATCAACTTTGGTATTATCGAGTTGTTTATAATCAATGTGCAAAACTTGGGCTGTGTTATTTTTTCCCTAAATATAGACCTTTCCACATTTTGCGAAAGCAACTAAGATTTAGTTACTAGCAACTTGAATCTTGGTTGCATGTTACAAGCATGGGGATATCCTTTTTTGATTTTCCGTGCTGGCAAGCTTTCTTGAACCCTGATGCTTCTGGAATCAGGGATTGCATTTTCTCTGAAGCAAATTGGAATTATCAGGAAGAGGAAAAGAAAAATGTAAAAGGGCCAACTTCTTTGATTTTAGTGGCACAGACAGAAGAGTAAGTTTTGCCCACAAGACATTCTAGACATTGAAATCCCCATCTGGAAATAACAATAAAAGAACTATTTTTAATAATGACTCTGTGGTTACAGATTAATTACTGTGACACTCTTGGGACAGTGTTATTTTTCCATAACTCTTTTGTGTACATGCAAAAATGTAATTTAAAAACGTGTGTGAATAGTAAATATTACAATATAACCAGCATTTCTGTGTCTTAAGCAAAGCAATTCCTTCTGTATATTATTTGGGATCTAATCTGTGCAGTTAACAGAGTTTTATTAATGATCATTTCAAATCAAATAAAATATTTTGATACCGATTCAAGCTTGTCAGTAGTTCAGTTCACTGAAATCACATAACTCCTGGCTATCTCAACTCTACTAATCATACATTGAAAGATTAAAAGATTAATATATCTTGTCAGTCTCCCAACATTCTAAGCTGTCACTGTTTTCTAACAGAAAAGCAAATTATTTGATGTGGTTCCGGAAGGAGACGGAATATTAAACTAATTTGGATGGACGCAATTAGTGGTTTTGGTTCTGAAAGCAAGGTGTGCTTAAAAAAAAAACATCCACTGGATTTTCTAAAATTTAAAACCCTTGGAGAAAACCATACCTGAATGTCATAAACTAGGTAGGGGAGAGATGTGGTCCTTTCTGAATCTTCAGTGGGTTCACTTGGGATTTGGAGATATTTTGTGTGACGAGAGGCAGCATATCCTTTTAAAGATAATTCAGTAAGTCCCAAAGGTGCTTTTTCAGGAGGCAACTGGACTTTTTTCTTTTTTCTTTTGAAGACATTTCACTTCTCATCCAAGAAGCTTCTTCAGTTCTGACTGGATGGTGGGAAATGGAAGGATTTACACTTCTTGCAGACATCTGGTCATTTGCATCCTTTTAGAGGGTCATTGGGGCTACTTGGAGGTTTGTGTCTTCAGGGTCACCTGAGTGTTGCTGAGTCTGCAATTTTTCCAGCTGTCTGCAAGGAATATAAATCCTTCCATTCCCCCACCATTCAGTCAGAGCTGAAGAAGCTTCTTGGATGAGAAGCGAAACATCTTCAAAAGAAAAAAACAACAAGAAAGTCCAGGTGTCTCCTGAAAAAAAGGACCTTTGGGACAACCATGACCTGGATAACAGAGAATCTCTACAGACTTTTAGCTATCCAATTTGGGATGGACACCCTTGGAATGGTGTGGGGAGTAGGAATGGATTTCCAGAGGAGAAATTGCAGATTACACAGGAACCATTTGCATCATTCAGGTGACCCTGAGGAGACAGGTTAACCTCCACGTGGCCTCAACAACACTGTGAAAGGATGCAAATGACCAGCTGTCTGCAAGGAGTATAAATCCTTCCGTTCCCCCACCATTCAGCCAGAGCTGAAGAAGCTTCTTGGATGAGAAGCGAAACATCTTCAAAAGAAAAAAGAAGGAAGTCCAGTTCCCTCCAGGAAAAAGTCAGTCAGAAATGGTGTAGGATCTCCTGCTTGGGCAGGGGGTTGGACTAGATGACCTACAAGTTCCCTTCCAACTCTGATTATCTGTTATGTGTTATCTAAAGCACCTTTGGGACAACCATGACCTGGATGACTGAGAATCTCTACAGACTTTTCGCTGAAGATTAAGTGATCTGGGTGGAACAGGATGCCAGGAACTCTGTTTGACTCAGTGGTTCCGACGCAGGAATATTTTCAAGCCATCCATCAATTTGTTTTGCTGCTTCCCTAAAACCGTATCCATTAATTATTCTATAAGCTACTTGTTTTTATGGGTTGGAAGCTCCTGGTGGAATCTGTGCAGCATCTTGATACGGGTGCAGCAAAGAATATTAAGACGCGAGCAGCCTGACTCATTCTTCACCCTAAGTAAAACGGTCCTCCGAGTGAGAAATTCATCTTAATTGTTTTAACGGTAATAGGCATTTCCTCGACTTCCGACCGCCATCGAGCCAAACACTTATGTTGCAAAGCACAACTAAATACAACTACAGTCATTCCTATGACAGCTACGGCCAAGAAAAAATAAACTGGGACAAAACTCACTGAACAACTATCTGGCTTAGCGACGGAAATTTTGGGCTCTGTTATTGTCGCATGTTGAGAACTACCTGTATTTTCACAATGCTTTTTTTTTTTTTTTTAAAGAAATGCTGTAGAATGTACAGTGGGTTAGTTTTTTTGAGGTTGTCCAAAAATGGTTTTGATCTTTCTCAATTTTTTTTCCTCTCTGTCAGCGGAAAGCTGAAATTGTGTAAAAACTTGCCTTTCCTTAGTGCAATCTCCTTATTTCATATGTGTGTGTGTGTGTGTGTGTGTAATGTATTGCCTGAAGGTTTGTGATTAGAAGAAGAAAAGAATTGGGGCATCAGGTTTTTAAAGTGAATTGCAGAAGCCTTGCTTTTCCACTTCTGTTGCAGCCTAATAATAATAATTTTAAAAAAACCCGTTTGATGCATAACACATAAAAACACACACAGCAATATTTCTTTTTAGCTGTATGTATTGAGCCTGTCCCCAATTGCCATGTGTGTGTGTGTCTGCCTGATGCACTGGAAAATAGAGTCTTCCTGACCTAAATGGCCTATTTCTATCTTTTTCAAACCAACTAGTTCCCTTGAAGATAGATAAATTAAATTTCTCTCTAGAGGTGAGCTGTTTGTAAGCCTCTGCTTAAATTTCACTAGTGTTTGCAAAAATTGCAAAATATTTCTGCCCAGAAAGATCAAATGGAAGCTTTCATCACCTCCCTCTGATGGCACCTCTTACAAAGATGCCAGGGACTGTCACTTTATTGCAAATTATTATTAACAAAGTTAACTTTGTTGCTTACGCAAACCATTTTCCGCCTTCCTGCAGTGTGTGTGTGTGTGTGTGTGTGTGTGTGTGTACGCATCAACTTTAAATTTCTCATTTCTGCATTTCTCAGCTTAATTTGTTCCCCAAACTCTGACAGTAGGATGCAGATGTTCTCAATATTGGATGAGAAGAAAGAAAATAATTATCTTGCAAGGATCATAACTGAAAGAACAGTCATAAGTCAGTTTTTTCAGTGCCGTCGTAACTTTGAATTGTCACAATTATGGGGATAATACAAATTAAAATGGATTCATGAATGATTATTTGAAGAATATAACTTGATAAATTTATAGCTAATACAGCAATTACAATGAATATATACTTAAAAAATGATATTAAGAATGTAGCAATTGATATAAAGAGAATATTGTATGAGAATATTGAAGAAAGCTAATAGTAGGAATGTGTAAATGTAGTCATGTTTGCTTTGAAATGTTAAAAAGACCTGGATCCACACTGTTCACATAAAGATGCATTTAAAGAAATAAAAATAAAAAGTAACTTTGAATTGTCCCTAAATGAATGGCTGTTAAGTCAAAGACTACTATATTAGGGAAAGAAAACTGTTGTTGTTTTTTAAAGAAAAATTCAGCTGGTTCTACCTCTGCTTGGCGGAAAAACCAAGTTTCAACCTCTTTTTTTTGGTTTTGCTTCAATAATTGCATGGTTAAAACCAATTAATTATCTAACTGGTTTTCTCTGAATTTGTGACCTTTGAAGCAACTTGTGCTGGAACTGTTTTCCCAAGCAGAAATTTCTGTGTTGATCCGATGGCTTTTTTTTGTTCTTGAACAGCTGCTAATCCTTAACATTTCTATCTGTTGAATATTTCTTTCTTTCTTCCTTTGTATGCATTTCTGGCAGCCTGCAGATGCTCAAGTACATTCCAGCTCCCCCCAAATATGAATTTGTCAACAAGCTGGGTTTTTTTTTTCTCCCTAGATGGTGGGTTTTTATTGCCCAGCCTTATTGAATTCATAAGAAAACGATGTTGCTGTGGTTTGCCTGCCCTACAATATGCACACACGTTAGCCATTCTTAAGGAAGGTTCCTACATCCATATCTGACCTTGAAACGTTTCCTTTGAGAACATTATAAGCAATGCGAGAGATCTTTTGTCAGTGTGATCTCCGTTTTTACAACGTGCAAAATATTTGATTGGATGGCTTAGAGAGCTATCATCAGTAATAAGGCTAAATATATATATATATATATATATCTATTAAATATCCAGTATTGATCCCGCTCAGTCTGTCTGTCAGCTATCTGTCGTTTATCTGTCTGTCATCTATCTATCTATCTATCTATCTATCTATCTATCTATCTATCTATCTATCTATCTATCTATCTATCCATCCATCCATCCATATCTATTAGTCCGTCCATCCATCCATCCACTGGTATCTCTCGTTATCTATTCATCATCCGTCATCTATATCTGTCATCTATCAATCCATCCATCATCTATATCTATCATCTCTGCCAGCTATGTCTGTCTGTCAGCTATGTCTGTCT